TGAGATCTGGGCATATCTTCTGAGAGCAGGAAAAACCCTAATATTATAATCAGCCCCAAGCATATGTTTTCAGGTGAATCAAGTCATAAGCTGAGTGTTTTATTATTGTATTGAGCGTGGGAAGCATTTGTGTTGGACAGTTGTTCTGATTGGACCCACCCATTTGCAGCTTTGGGGACATGCAAGATAACTAATAAATTAGATTGTGTGAAATATTCCATTGTCTCCACCTATATAGACCTATTGCATTGGTGGATTTTCTTCCACCAATCATCCCCCCCTCTCTCTCTCCAATGCCAATCAATTCCCACTCCTTTTTTAAAAAAAAATTTCGATGGCTCTTTTTGCAATATGTTCAGATAGCTTTCTTTTCTTTAGGAGGAGAATTCCAAGTAAGCTTGCTGTCTTCAAGCATTTCACTATCCTGACACATGGAATCAAGTGAGGACATAAAGCGGGTGATTAGATTAATGTTGGCTAGGATCGTGGGTGGGTTGGTTGATTTGATTGATTTCAGCCCCCATTTCACACCGTTCTACTCAAGTGGTTTCATCCATTCAAAGGCTTGATTTGTGGGAGATCATAGGGTGGCCCCCCTCGATTTGCCTCGTGTAGGAAACAACAAAAAAGCCAGTTGGTCTACGCAAATGTGGTAATATCCACAGTATTGGGTCTCTATTTAGACTTTTCTAGAGCTTTGACGTCTTCATTTATGTCTAATGACTTAGAATCAGTTCGATCATTGACAATTATTTCTTTTACTAGAGTTTGCCACCAAGTGATATTCTACAAATTCAATCTATAAGAGCCCGACCAAAAAGAAAATCTATAAGAGAATCGTGGGACCCGCAATTCAACTTCAATAAACTTCCTCGCGTGAAAGCCGGTAAATCGAGTAACAGAGACTTAAAGCGTGCCGACTTCAGACACGCACGAGTGAATAGTCAAAATCCTCAAAGGAATAAGGGAAAATAATATAGTTAAAAGCAAAGACGTGTATTTCAATAGTTGGCCGCAGAAGAATAGCTTCGACGCCTTCTTTACTCTAATACCATATAAATCGAACAAATCCGTTTTCATTCTCACTCCTCCTCAAATACACCATATTTCAAGATAACAAAGACGTCTAATATGTGGTAAATGTGTTTTCCTGTGTCTATAGATCAACTTAAATTAGTTATCACATTTCATGTTGATTGATGGACACGAAAAACGCGCTAATCACATTTAAGATATCTTTACCGTTATGGAGACATAACATGCTGATATACTCTTGTTAGATGAATTTGCGAGTTTATCACATTTCAAAAGTGCTTACCGCTCCGAAGGCACCGATGCCGTGAGAAACGTTCGACAAATCCTCAATGGAGAGTGCCTTAGCCAATCACTTCAAAAGCCAAAACCTACGAGAGAATGTTTGAGGTATATATTTTATCATTACAACACTCGAATCTTGAAAAGTCCAAAGCGTACGAGCAGCCTCTTGTTTCCTTCCCCTTTGACAAAACGTACAGGTGCTTTAAGTGACCAAGATAGAACGCCAAAATTGACTTTAGGAGCAAAGAGGGGGTTCTGGTGGAGCGGAAGAAATTGCAAGGGGACATCAGATAAAGAAGACAGATGGAGCATGTTGGAAGGTGGATCATCCCTCTGATAGGCCAGTCAAGACTCCTTGATCTTGACAGAATATTGCATTAGTTCGCTTCATTTCTCCTTCTGTCTTTTCTTTGACTTGAAGCCTCCAATGGCTGTCCAAACCAAGTACACAAATGAAGAATTTACACCACATGATGTCAGAGGAAACGACGGGAGGAAATAAATCGCAATACAAAATAATGTAATTTCGATGTTTTATTACGATGGGGTTTGTATGGTTTGCACATACGATTGATTCAAACTAGTAAAATAGTTTTTTAGAAATATGTCTTCTTGCAAAATGGTTTCTCTCTATTTTACCTACTTCTTTGACCTTAACACGGTTGAGGCAGTTTCAAGTTTGTCGCTAACTGTATGGACTTACAATAAGCGTTCTGGAAGATATGATTAGTTTCGTGCGTCAGTTGGTAAAAGAAGCTTCGAGCTGCTTTAGACTCAAGCTTCTTTGCTCATTCTTAATTTGAAAAATTGCTGTCAGCATTAGCAAGCACGAGAAGTATCTCAGCTACCATTCTTTTGGAGTTTTTTCTAAACCGACAAATCCGCAAGCACAACTTGAAGCTTTCAAAACCCCAAAAACAATTCTACGGAGATTGAGCGACTGACTTTAAAAAATGGGTATGTTAGAAAATCCAATCCAAAAACTTATAAATAGAGGGTAATTACGTATTGCTAAGTAACGTGAGATATTTCAACATCTCATTTTATGTGCAAATTAGATCAAAAGTGGCACGTGAAATTTGACGAAATGGGGCGAACGCACACGAGAAATAAATTGAGGTGAAACTTAACTCTATACCCACGTTAAAAAATCAAATCCAAAATTTAAGTATACAGGGACAGAGAGACCAAGAACGCGCGTGAGAGCTACCCTTTTGTCGGGCGACGTGGGTTATTTTCCTTCACTCGGTGTTGTTTATGTAACCTCGGGGGCACTGAGTAAAGGCCGCACGTCATTAGACGACTATTAAACAATCCATTCAAAGAATAGCGGACAACTGTCAATGAGTTTATTAATAGATTATGCCGCACTCGACCTCACGATCTTTGGACAGGGTCTAGAACCTCGACACGGTTTCACTTCGCTTTCTTTTACAGTCTATGTGAAAGTCCCGTGCGCGAGCTGAAAAAACGTAATTTGTATGCAAAATATTTTTTAAGTTGCCATGAATTGATACCAATTTCAATTCCACAAATCATGCAATGTTGAGTGCACTTACTCTTCCTTGTCAGAGAAGTTCGTTCAGTTCCGAAAGTGCATTTCCAACGCCAAAATAACTTGGACCTTACTCATCGGCCAAGGGGCCAATGGCAGCGGCGCCGGTGAAAGACGTTAGTGTTAGATTTAAAATTTTGGACAACTATGCCATAACTCGATTTTATAATCCTAACAGCTAGTCTTCGCTCAGCGTCATTCACGTAGCATGCAACTAGAGGGGAAAATTGACGTTCACGATCTTGACAATCTCCGCTTATTCTCATCTAATTAAAGCAGACCAACCTCCAACCTCTCATTGAGTTTGAGTAGCTAGAATAAGTATTTTACCAGTCGAGCTCTGGCCGGTGGATATTCAAGGTCTGCCATTTATCGTTAAACTACTTCCTCGACTTTGGCTCGGTCACAAGTGGTGTTCGATTCTGTGGTTCAATGTCCTCATAGTCGAGGTCATGAGTAGACCTATTAAACGGGTGGGTCAGGTCGGGTTTGGATCGGGTCATAAATGGTCCGACCCAAATTGACCCATTAACCCGTTTATGACCCATTTATTCATAGTGTAAATATCTCGACCCATACCCGACCCGATCCATACCCAACTCATACCTGACCCAACCCATATTGCTAAAACACTTTTATATTTACCATAATCTAGGAATACTTGTTTCTTATTTTTTTTTTAAATTATACTGCTAAAACATTTTATGCAATACAAAGTTAGTGAAAAAAATTTATAATTTTTTTTAAAATTGAGGTTATGTTTGTTTTACGAAAAATGCGACATTTCTAGAAAATATTTTCCATAAAATCATTATCCAAGAAAATAAAATAAAAATTTGACGTTTGGCTGAAACTTGAAAATATACTAGAAAATATTTTTCGATATTTGGTATATAAAATCTGATTTGATTTTACTTTGTGCATTCATTTTAATAATATTAATATTTTTTTATTTTTTAAATTGAATTTTTAATTATTTTTTTCTTTTTTTATTTTTCCTTTATTTTTGGCCGATTGCCGGCCGCCGTGGCCGGCGACCGACCACAGGCGAAGCTCCAGCCTCGCCGATCTGGCGAGACTTAAGCTCTCGCTGGTCTCGGGCAAGCTTGACCTAGTCGGATCTGGCGAGGTGGAGCCTCGCCCAAGGCCGACGAAGATCGAGCTCGCCAGCCTCGGCCAGCCTCGGGCGAGGCTCCTTCTCGCCAGATCCGGCTAGGTCAAGCTCGCCTGAGGTCGGCAAGCTCGAGTCTCGCCAGATCGGCAAGGCTCCAGCCTCGCCACAGGTCAGCGAGGCCGAGGCCTCGCCGAGATCTGGCGAGCCTCGAGGTCGCCGAAATCGGGCGAGCTCGAGGCTCGCCAGATCAGCAAGGCTCGAGCCTCGCCTGAGGCCGGCGAGGTCATCCCGCCCCGGTGGCCGGTCGCCGTGGCCGACCACCCGCCGAAATAAAAAAAAAAGAAAAAGAAAAAGAAAGAAGAGAAAAGAAAAAATAAAAATAATTAAATTTCGATTTTTTTAAACATTTTTATAAAGAGCGAGAGAGTGTGTGAATGGGTTGGACATGGATTCCAAACTCAACCCATTTAGACCCATTTATCTTTAAGCTTTAAAATTTAAAACCCATTTAAAATTGACTCTTTAAAATTAAAGTGACCCATTTATTTTTAAATGGGTCATATATGGATTTAAGACCCATTTTGACACCTTTAGTCATGAGTTAAGGCCGGTGGATCTTCAGGTTTTGATAATGGAAACCTTCATCAGAGTCGAGTCCAGCATGGTGTCATTGTTGGCTACCTCATGTGTTGCAACATCAGCTGAAAGGGTAATGCAGATAAACCAATAGGCAAATGGTGCTCATTTCGATATCACTATTGTTCTTTACGACTATGACGGCATTCATGGACGATTTATAAATTTATGTCCAAGCATAGTCATTCATGGACGATTTATAAATTTATGTCCAAGTAAACACCCGGATCTACTCATCCATCGGCATTTCTAGATAGCATGAGCAAACAAACAAGCATAGATAATTCCACAGCAAAGATAGAAAAAGTTGATGTAGCCAGCATTGAAAGGGAAGTCTAGCACTCAAACCCAACACCAATATAAGGGAGAGAGCAGAGATAGAAAAGTAGCTTAATCCAGCCAAATAGCCAATGATAATGAAGATACCCTCTTAAGAAGCACGAAATTTAAAGGGTGATCACGTCCATATCTCAAATTTCCTCTACTATCTAATGAATTGAGACAAAAGTGTGAAACAGCTCATGACCATTGTCGCAGGAAAATTTGAACATATGTGAAATCAGGCAAAAATGCATTTCAAAACTACTCCATTTCCGCTCTAGGTGATGGATGTTGCAATGTTAACATCTCACTTTTGGAAGAATTGATGTCACATTTGCCGCTTGGTACGAGGCGCGAGAGCCAGAAGTATCTTCTTTCTAGGTCCCTGAAATAAGAGTGTCTTGAATTAATCTTCAAGTTTATATTAGGTCCTGTAATGACTATACTAATACTACTGCTCGACCAAGATGTCACCTTGAGGAAATGCGTATCACAGAAAAAATCATCACATAGACTCATGATCAAACTTCATATCCTTAAATAATTCAATAAGTAAATTGTTGGGGATGTGGCATCTAATTAGCATGAAAGTTAAATCAAAGACATCAAAATACAATTTTCAGGTAACCCTGGTTTAATCAATGTGCAAACAAGATGTTGCCATTTTTGGTTTTATAGAATGTTCAAAGTTGGCGATTGATGAGTTGCACATGAAAGGGCCTAATTCCCTAAAAAACCCGAGCTTTAGATCCAATCCCAATTAAGCCCTGAACTTTTTTTGTCTAAAAAAATCGTAAATTTTTACTCTAGTCCCAAATCTATCTCAGTTAACCCTCCGTCCAAAAATAACCATTGGTTTGTTTACATATATCAGGAAACTGTTGTTGTTCCACACAAAGGTAAGTGTGTTGATAAAGACACAGATTTTGAAAACGAACCTCTAAGTGGCCTTGATGTTGACAATTTTGAAAAAACCAGTGGTGGTTTTTGGACGGAGGATTAACGGGGGCAGATTTAGGACTAAAGTGAAAGTTTGTGATATTTTCTTCTAGACAAAAACAAGTTTCGGGCGAAATTGGGATTGAACCCAAAGTTGGGGTTTCTTATGAAAGTGATTATTATCACATTCCACAAAATGGATCAAGCTCACTCTTTCACTAGGGATCATATATAACTGAAGATCATACCATAGGAATTCCAAGCTCTTTAAGATCATGTTCACCCATCTGCTTCAATGCTGCCATGTCAACCTGTCAAATACATTGATATAAAAGGAAAAAAAATCGTCAATGGAAACTTCATGGTCTTGCTTCAGAAAAGCAAACAACATAGCCTAGAATCACCGCCACAGCTAAAACATATTAGATGGATGATTCAAGGGCACTCCAACGATGCATCTTATAGATCCTCTGTCTAGAGTGAGCAAATGTAGGGAAAGTAGGAAACGAAAAGAACAACTTTGGATGACAGAATGGACAAAATTAATAAGCAACAATTCTAAGTTCTAACTTCGATTACTGTCAGTCAATAATCTCATTCATTTGCATCTATTTTCACTTCCTTGTTCTTAGCTTTTACTCGATTCCTACTCCCCAGCAAAACTGTATATTCCTTGAAGTTTTAATTTGTAATGCAAAAGATGATCATGCAAGAAGCTCGATCAACCTGATGCTAAATAATTTGTCTTAAGAAATTTCAAAAGAATAGCACTTACTTCTTCAGCCTTGAACAGAATGGCATATTTTGCCAACCCCAATGATTGCAACAAGCCATCAACAGTTTGATGTTCATCACCCTAAAGAATAACAAGCCAAAACAATGTCAGGGTCATAAGAGACCAACAATTCTGTTGATTTGCAGTAAAAAAATAAAGAACCAATATTCTAAGCCTTGGTGAAAAACATCGTGGCTTTAAGACATCTAAAGGTCATCATTAAGAATGGACATGATTGCTTACGTGATTAGAGCGAGAAAACTAGGAAAGTTGGAATGAAAGATATCCTAGGCTATGGTTAAGAACTATGACTGTAAGATGCTCCAAGAAGCAACAATCTCAAAGGTAATCTATGTTACTATGTAACCAATTTATACAGAGTAGAGATCAGCCAAGGCACAACTTCAAAAAACAGCAAGAGGCAAGGTGATTAATGATGTCATAACTTAGTACTGATATCAATATTTTGACGTAGGCTAGATTAATGTGGCAAAAGCAAAAAGGTAATCCTGAGCAGAAAAACCCGTTAACGCATATTACCACTACCGACAGCCGATCCAATCATGTTTGGAAGCAGTTGACAAGCTCTAATATCATGTGGATAATACAAAGCGTGCATCTCTCTCATACACTTGCAGAAGATTGTTGAAAACAAGCAAAAAAGAAGGATCTACAGTCCCTTCTGGTGATGATTAACTTGCATGTAAAGAGGCTAAAAATGAAACATCAATTCACAAACTTGCATGTAATAAGGTGACAAAAAGACACCTCAATACTTTGTAAAAATCCCAAAAAATTACGAACACTGTGGAGGATTAGAACTACAACAATTAGCTCAAAGAGAGAAGAGAGATTGACAATCTGACATAAAAAAGAAAAAAACACTTTTGTTTTCTCTCACTACACAACCCAAACACTAAGAGTGATGTTTGTCCAGTGACAATTTAATCCTACTTCTCCTGCTCCCTGATCATATATGCTCATCGTCTGATAGCAATATTAAACTCAATTATAAGCACCTGGCCTATTACATTTAGCTATCAATGGCCAACAATACTACATCAGACAGAGAAAAATAATGATTGGTCTCGATTGAGAAGACATTGAGCTCATATAATTTTCTGCCCATCAACTTCACTTTACATAATAACCGGGTCAAGGTTACTGAAACATTGGATGTTCCTTGTCTAAATAGTGGTGCAGCCTGGGTAGGCTTCTGTCTGTATCGGAATAACATATAGGTGTTCAGTGCATTAGGGATGATAATAGTAATATTGAGCTTAATGCATACCTATAAACCAAATAAAACAGTAAACAGGGGAACTTGTTAGTTAAAGCTTAAAGTGTATATCTAGTAGCAAGATACCGCTATGTATAAGACATTAAATGAAAGTATCAAAGATATCCATATCGGAATGTTGGAACATTTATTTCAATGTGCCAAACAATTGACGTAGCATAAAATGAAAGACGTCACAATCGTTAGGAGAGTAGTGTCTTTTTGAACTTAGGAGTTAGGGGGCCAAAGACAGGAGGAAGCTTAAGTGGGTAGCACCGTAGCAGACTGATCAACCACTAAAGAAGTAGATTGCTGCATTTGTCTTGCTTTTCCAGGAACGAAAGCATGCGAAGAGGACTCAACTGAAAAAGAATGCCTTCAGCTTCCAAACGATACAATGCTCTCATTAATTGTCCAATCTTACGCTTTTGAGCTTATCAAAGCATGGGGAAGCGGATCCAAATTTTGACAATGTTAAGGTAAGATCCTCAAGACACACTTCATTGCTCCACATGTGTGTGTATACTAAGATCCAACATTAATTGAACTATCCATCCAAATTTGATGCTTATACAGAGAAGTAGATCAATTAAGAGAAGAATCGGCATTATGGCATTTATTCATCGATTGTATAGGAAACGTAGGAGACAGAACGAAGCTCATTTTCTGATAAGACAGACATTATGTTACCACAAAACCAGAAAACAAATATGCATGTAAAAGCTGGCGCAATGCAAGTAATCTGTCTTTATAAGCTTCTAGAGAGTAATAGTAAACTAGGGTGAAACAGAAAAGGCAAGAGCAGCATACCAAGTATGAGGTTTTCTGCACAACATTGCTCGGAGAACGAGACTGACCCAAAACTGTTGCTGCAGGCCTTATGCTTGTAGAAGGACGTGTTGAGTTTGCTACATAAGGCACACTACTACTCATAGGCCTGGCAGGATCAAGCATATCTTTTCGCATATAAGCAATTGACCTGACTTCATCCGATGTCCTCATTGGCAAACTTCTATGAACATCCTCTGGACTCCTTCGGGGGGAGAGGCCCCTAGAACTGGCAACATACCTTTCCGGGGATCTTCGTCTCAAATTCTCCAAACCTAAAGAAGGATAAGACCTTCTAAGAGGTTCAGTCCGACGCAAATGATTTGTACTTCTTGATGGAGGAATTCGACCCAAGAAACTATCATCCTTCCTTTCATGCATCCGCTGCCTTGAATCGAGTGCAGCTGCTGAGGTGTGAACTGTTTTAGACAGCTTCTCACGGAGGTCCACGGCATCACATTCGTCGTCACTTAGAGTTCTTCGAGATGAATTCTTTTGCATGAGTTTAAAACGAAGGTCACCTTTACCAATTCGCATGCCTTGGTAATCCAACAGGAGACGACTATAGTTAGATTTCAGTTAAAGAAGACAACCAAAAGTTTTACTATCACAAGAAAGTTAAAGAAGGTCAATTACCATCAACTCCATTACTGCCTCTACTTGACATGGAAATATCTCCTCGATGCCTGCAAAATGCCAACATATCAGCATACTACTCTACTAGACACAAACTAACCAAATGAAACCAACAGTGAAAGATGATGTTCTTGGGGATTGGAAAGGTTGCAGAAACAACAGCAGCAGCAGACATGTTGATGACCAACAGGAAAAGATATATAGGTAAATAAAAAACTGAACAAAACAAGCCAGAGCAAGCTGGGATATAAAGTCTCACGAGTATAAACGCACCTTTTACTACCAAGGCTGTCTCCATGCAACAGGGTACTATCAGCATTGCTGCCTAATCTATCTCTTACTGAGCGCTTACTGCCGACGGCTGGCACCGAATCAGCGTATGAAGCATCCGAAACAACTCCTGCCCTCTTCACCACCTGGAAAGCGACCGAATGTCAATCACAAACTCTTGACCTATACAGTCCAACCAGAGCAACATCTCTCATTCAGCTCAGTTTGCTACGAGAATGGTCGGTTATCAAAATTTCAAAGGGAGAGACGAACATCAACTTTTGATGTTGCTTTCTTTCTCAACTATAATTGGAGATTCTATACGTTCAACTAAACACGCCCAAAATCAGTCAACCGGCGCTGGCCAACGACATTTTTCTCCCAGCAAGACGACACAGAGCACAAGCAAACCGACCAAATAATCCACGGGACCTCGCTTTTCCGCACAATAAACCAAATCCAACAACATTCATAGATCTCAAATGAGCAAATCTCAAAGAACAATGCCAAAGCTCGACGACAAGAGAAACCGCAACCAAACCCTCACTTCCCAAAAACTTTAAGAGATTTTCGCGAAACGATGAAGCTAACCTGGCCGCTTCGCCCGAGAGTGATGGTAACTCTGCCTCTCGAAGCCTCAGTCATTTCCGCCTCCACGGAACCAAAAGACTAAACCCTAGGCGAGCCCAATCAGCTACACATCACACGGGGCCGCCCGTACGGACGAACGTTCCACAGTCGCAGAGCTCAACGGCGGAATCCACGACGTAGGAGCTGGTGCGGCGGTGGCGGCGGCGGCGGAGGAGCGACGGCGGCCGGAGGAGGGCCGGGCGTTCCCGTTAGGCGATGGACGCCGTGGAAGAGAAAGCAGGCGGCGGCGGCGACGCCGGACGAGTGAAAGGGACCTCCGATTGACGAGCTCCGGAGGCGGAGTGCGTCGAGGATGTATCGAGAGCGCGGGGGGCGGTGAAGGGGAAAGAGCTGAAGAAGAAGAAGAAGAAGAAGAAGGTGGAATGGAGTCGTATCGTATCAGAGAGCTGTCCAACGCATTTCTGGTGCCACTGCTGGAGCTGACGGGAGGAGGAAAACCCTTTCTGCTTCTTTTTCTTTTTTCACCGTTTCCTTTTTCTCCCTTTTTACTCCTTTTTTTTATGAATGATCTCTGAACTTTATTTCAATACACAATATAATCTCTCAATTTTTAATTTATTCAATATGATCTTTAAAATTTAACCCGATGTGTAATATCGTCCTCGAAATTTTAATTTGTTCAATATAATTTATGAACTTTTGATACATGTTCAATCTAGTCCTTAGACTATATGAAAATATTCGATATTGTTCCTGAACTTGAATATAGTCCGGGGTCTAACTTGAACAAGTATCAAAAGCCTGGGGGTCATATTGAACAAATTAAAAGTTCATGGACCATATTATACATTAGGCGAAAGTTCAATTAAAAGTTCAGGGATCACAGTGCACATTCGGTTAAAATTTGGGGATTATTTGTGTCGTTGTCCCTTTATGGATTTATTCTTCTAATTTCTTTTAAGCAAAGGTATTTTCACATCCAAAATATTAAACACGTACCTTTTTTAGTGTATTAACTAAAATATCCTCCGAAATAAGATAAATTTCATATTTAAATTTGTAATTATTGCTCGTCCGGAGCTCCAACATGAACCTCGCTTGTTGAATATCATCTCTTCAAAGTTATATCTCGATTATTAAAGTGACATAAAAAATCTCTTGCGATCGATGATAAAGACTATAAATGGATTATAACGGTTAAATTGACAATTTTTTTGCAAACAAATTTAAAAGCGAAGAAAAATAAATATTGAATAGAGGGGAAGAAAAAATCTGGACATGTACGATGGATCGACGACATATAAAATTAATTATATTGTCCAAATGAAAACAAGATAAAAAGTATCTTCGAACCTTATGATTTAAGGAACTTAATTGCTTTATCTTTCTCTGGCAAAATAGAGAAAAATATGATTATGCTTAGTTTTCAAATGAATATGTGGGTAACTGAAAATGTTGTATACTTTCATGTCATTATGGTCAGTTAAAATTCAAAGGTTGTATATGAAGCCAATTAAGTTATGGAATCAAAGCCAGCCTCTTTACATTTTTAATCGGCGAATCAAAAGTCGGTATGAGTGCACATGGCGGAGCGAAAAAAGTACAATACACTCTCGAAACATTGCGTGACCCAACCATGAAAATTTCGAGCGTTCATAGAAATATTTTTCTTTAAAAGTGCAAATAAAAATGATCACAAGATTTCGTTGTCGCGACCCTCCTAAAAGAGGTCAAAGGAGACACATATCACGTTCGGGGAAATCCCCACTAGACTTGATTATGAGAATAATCACAGCCCATGGATTCGCCCAAGCCCGCACCAAGCAACATGGACTCGAAAGGCGCTATTGGGAGGCTTGGACAATTAGTTAGCATGCCCAATTTGATAAATTTTTGTACAAAAATTATTCCTATCAATGAGCATGGGCAAGAAATTAGAACCAATTTGTTAGAGCCCGGCCCGAGCCCATCAATTGATCACTCTAGTCACTAGTCACCTATTTTAAAGGTTGTTTGGTAACTTATCAAGATGTAATTATGACATGGGAGGAACAGCTCAAACCTAAACCTAATACACTAGTTTGCGTAAATTGGATATATTAGATTCGGAAATTTGGTTAGATCATATTATCCTGGCGTGCGAGGACCGACACCACTTTAACTGTGAGAGGTTTCTCGATGCAATGCCGAAATTCTATGGAATTCATTTTACACTTGTTCAATTAGAAGTACAGCAAAAAAAAAAATTAGAAATACAGAACTTGCATTGCTTCGAAGTCAGGAAAGTGTTGTCTAAACATGTGAACCCTAAATCTAAACATGCATTGTTCATCATGCAAATACCATAAACAAGCATATGCCTTTGCTAAACTATGTAAGTAGGCACTCTTTTTGACACTATCAAAGAACCACCAACCCGTGCTCATGCTTGGTCAGTCGGTTGGGAAATTCTAAACGTCCCTTATTATAATACAATTAAAGTCAAATGATAAATAAAGGCTCACGTCGTAGCCATTCCTCAAATATCTTTAGACACACCCTAAAATTTAGAATTTTCAAAATATCTCTCATTGAGACTTAATTAATGGTAGGATTAATGAAAGAGGTTTAATGTAGATCAATTAATCTAATAACTTTTATAGACCTTACCTAAACTGTTATTTTCTCTAATGTTGTGTTCAAATCAAAGAAGTTTACTAGTTCGTTTGTTATTCCAAGAATCATCTAAAATTCAAGTATTTTAATAGATTTACTTAAATAACTGTGAACACACCCTAAAATTTAAGGACGCGAATGATAACCATTATGTTTATCTATTTTTTTGTTCTCAGGAACAGGTTTGAAACAGAAATCCGATTGACAATGCAATTTCATTTTTTTTATTTTCAGGATAAACTTTTGGTCTAGAAATAGGTTTGGAATAGAAATGAGAAGTAGATTTTTTTTACTTTACTATTTTTGGAATAGAAACGAAAATAACAACTCCTTTTTATTGCTCGCCCTCGCCACTCGCCGTTGCCCCCTACTACTAGCTACCCGCCCGCCACCATCGGTTGATTGCCGGGAATAGAAATTTAAGAATAACCTATCAAACAAATTTCTATTCTTGAAACAAAAATTTTGTGCCGCTATCAAATGCTATTTTTTGCTCAAAAACTCATCTAAAGAATAGAAATAAATTTTCTATTTCTAGCCAAAAATAAGGCCAGGGAAGAGAATGGTTATCATTCGCGCCCTAAATGGTCCAAGATAGCCCTTACTAAGACTGCATTAATGGTCAGATTGATGAAAGAGAAATATATAGCTTTAATGTAGATCAATCAATTTAATGATTTTTATCAACCTTTCCTATAGTGTTGTTTCTTCTTCTTTTGTGTTCAAGTCAGAGAGTTTACGTGTTCGTTTTTTATTACGAGAATCATCTAAGGTTCCAGTATTTCAATAAACTTAGTAATTGGGATACTAATTTGAAAGAATATTAATAAAGTACATTTATAAATAATGTTTCTCTAAAGTTCAATCTCTAATAACTCCAAGTAATATACAATTCTTCATTTCATGTTTTTCTTAGAGAAATTCTTTGGTTAAAGTTGTGAACTTTTTATCATTGCAACTTATATTTAAGATATGTTAATCAAAAGATTACCAATAAGGCGCAAGCTCGTTATAAAAAAACATTTATAGAAATTAGCTTGAGAGCAAAAGCGTGAAAATGAAATTTGTATAAAAAAAAATACAGAAAATGACATCAAATGGTCGAATAAAACATCATTGTATTGACAAAATTCGAACAGTCTGATATTTTGTTGATAATATGCTGCATTTACATTTTCAATAAATAGTCGCTTTCATTCTATCCACTTCTGATTTTGATAAATTAGTTCTGTCGAAGCTATTGTCATCAACTCAATAAGTCGGGGGGTGTTGTAGCCACCAAAAGGATTTCTTTTTCATTTGAATGAGTAGATTGGATGAGTAGAAGAGAACCGAAGCGAGATGAAGAAAATCAAGCAAAAAGTACAGGAATAATCAACTCATATCAGTTTATCACCATGGATTCTCTAAACCTTTGAAGTCATCATCCTTTAGAGGGATTAAAAGTTCATTACAATCAGCCTTTCAGGAGAAAAGAGTGGTTCCTTTATATCTTTTCAACCGTTTTAACTTGCCAAACAATATAAACACCAAGCTCCCCAAAATGAAATCTCTTCTCCTCTCTCTGAATTACTCATTAACCAAACATAGTCTTCGAATAGTCGTGCTTATTCATGATAACAGCCCTGAATTTCCCCGTTGAAACTGTGATACGCTTCGTTCTTGCAAGATCTACAAATCAGCTAGAATATCAACAGCCAAATAGACTGCGTCTTCTCATTAACATCGGCTTTTCGATGTAAGATCAAACATCATCAAGTGAATCGGAAATATTTAGCATAGAGACTTTGGAAGGAAATCTAATCTTGTGGAGCCTAATCTGTGATTTGATAATTCAAGAGCACAAAACATTACTTCTTGCAGCAGTCCAACACTACTTATCATACATACAAGATCAGATAGGTCCCAAAGCTTTCATAATCCAGGAAAACAAGTTCACAGAAAAGAAGGGGACAAAACCGCAGAGACATACAAGCGAAGGAAAGGATGTAGAGAAAGCTTGTGTGATGTAGATCACGATGTCTTTTTGTCACTAAAAACAAATCTCGAACTCAAACATCAAGCATACTTACTATTATAGCGAGAACTTAGAAAAGATCCATGTAAATAAAAGCTTCGAAACTTTGTTCCAAGATTCGGACCGTGATGCTTCGATTCCCAGGTAGAGAGAAGTGAAGATACGATTAACATCGATGGATCGAAGTCTCTCGTGAAGAAGGCATAACCCTAGTTTTGTTCAGAAGTCAGCACACAAACGATATGAAAAAACCCGAAGGCTAGGGATAATAACTAGGGTTTCGCTTCTCCTTCAGCGAACCCATCTTCACTTCCTTTCGACGATTCCTCCGATCTACACTTCTTTCTTCCTCTTTCTTCTTCTTCTCGATCTTCTTCTTCTTCCTGTAAACGCTGAGTAGATGGAGAGATGATTTGGTGTGGTGGGTAAGTGGTAAAAGATGGTGTGCTGGGGATAAAAGTGAGGGGTGATTAATGATGAGAGGAGGAGGGTAGAGGACATGATGATTGCTTCGGGATGTTCTGTTGCGTCGAATGAAGAGATGAGAATCCCACAAACACTGCGAGAAATTTCACAATCTTGATGATTGCTGTTTCTTCAACCTGGTGATGTTAATCATAAACCTAGCATATGAAAGAGAGAGAGAGAAAGAGAGAGGACTTATGCTCAAGACTAGGTTTATATCTTTTCCTTCTGAAAGACAAAACCAACTTTAAAAAGTGAACATCATTAAGATTAAAAAGCGAAAGGAAATGAGTATTATGTTAAGACACACTTTCTTTTGGGAATAGTATCAATAGAATTTCCTTTTACACA